AAATCCAGTTTGCAGGGAAAAACCTCACCTTGCGCTCCAATGACAGAATGTAACTTGTAGTTCGTCCAAGTTTCCTTGGGATCACTTTGAGTCAGTTGAGTTGCCCTTCATCACTAGGTGGCAGCTCAGCTCCTAAGGCTTCCCTAGTGCACAGCACATGGGTAGCACCCTCATCCCCACCAACACCACTATGCAAACCTTTCCAGCATCGCAAGCGTTGGTGCCCGGGCAAGGCCAATGACCCAGACCAGGGGTGTGAGATTTTCTCTTCCTCCCATTAAAGCCGTGGGTTCATGTGGTGGCTGTACCAGTGCCTTTCTCAAGATCCCTCTGCCACAGGGAGCAGCCAAGGCTCCTGCCATCAAAACTGAAACCCTAACAGAGGGAAGACAGAGGAGAGAAGAGCAGTGTGGGCCCTTCCTGGGTGTGGCCCATGACATACCCACTCCCATCTCACTGGCCAGGGTTAGACATGTGACCACTTAACAGTGCAAGAAGGCCAGAGCAATGTACCTTCTTAGACAAATCCGCTAAAAATCAGAGGCCCCTTCCTGAAGATAAGGAGCGGAATGTGGGAGTTGATTAGCAGCCTAAGGGTGGGTCTCCACTGCCCCCAAATCTTCCACTTCCAGAATTCGTTTCCTTCCTACCCATGACCCAAACTTGAGGGCAGGATGGGGCTTAGGGGGGGGATCTGGAAGAAAGGGGGAATAAAGAATGTATCTTTATGGACTAAAGAGATGACTCAATGATTAAGATCATTGGCCACTCTTTTAGGGGACCCCGGCTCAATTCCCAGGACCCACATGGCAGAGTCACAACTGTCTATTAACTCCGATCCCAGGGAACCAAATGCCGTCTTCTGACTTCAGTGGGCACACGGCATGCTCATGGTGCACGAACATCCATGCAGGCAAAATGCTGATACACACAAAATAATAAAATAATCTTTAAGAAAAAATGTAGCCCTCCCCTGCTCTGGTGCACCAGAGAAGCTAAATTTATGTTTCTTTAAATGTGACAAACTGTTTCAAGTCTATAATAAAAAAGAAAAATGAATGCAATAAACATTCCAGTGTGTATATGTTTGTGTTACAGGCACATACGTGCATGAATATGTGGAGACCAGAGGTCAACACTGAGTGTCTTCCTCAAGTAGTCTCTACCTTGTTAGTTAGTTAGTTAGTTAGTTAGTTAGTTAGTTAGTTAGTTAGTTAGTTGTTTTGTTTTGATCAGGGTCTCTTGCTGAACCCAGAGCTGTCTAATTTGGCAAAACTAGATGGCTAGCAAGCTCCAGGGAATCCCCCTGCCTCTGCATCCCTGGCACTGGGATCACAGCCACACTCTACACTAACCAGCTTTTTGCATGGGTGCCAGAGGTCAGAACTCAGGTCCTCGTGCTTTCGTGGCAGGCACTGGCTGACCCATCTTCCCACCTGCCCACCCACCCTCGTCAGCCATTTTGACCAATCTTTCCGTGTACACATTTGCTTCAAAGTTTTAGGAAGTTAAATACGATTAATATGAATGAGGTCTCGGGTCTTCTTTCCCAATCCCTCTCTCACCTCTGCCCCAGAGGTGCCCCCATACTGAGATAAGTGTGCATCCACCCTAATGTGTCTCATTCTTCAGATACCCCATGCACAGGCAATGCTACAAGTCATGATTCTGCTGTGGAACTTGATACAGATGGTAACGTCTACATGACTCATCACACAACTTGCTCTTTCTTCTCAGTGTTGGCTTTGAGCTGCATCCACAATGATAACTGATTCTGCCTCCACCATTTATCGTGGTCATGCTGTGTGTGTGATGTAATGCTGTGGCATATGACTACACCACCACGTATTTATCTCTTCTTCCCAAAGTGGGTTCTCTTTTGTTACTGTGTACTATTAAGCCGTGCTGTGGTAAACATCTCTGTCAGGGCCTCTTGGCACAGATACCCAAGAGTTTCTTGACTTTGTGGTTTCCTGAGTGAGTCGGTGACGGGTAGTGACAGATCACCTGGTATATTCTTGAGCCTTACCCTAGACCTCCTGTAATGATTTGGATCTGAAATGGCTCACCCAGCTTGGGATTCTGAATGCTGCTCTGTAGCTGGAGACGCTATTTTAAGAGGCTGGAACTGTTAGGAGGTGGGGGCAGCCCGGTAGAAGTCTGTCACTAAAGGTAGCCTTTGGAAAATTTTCCCGGTCCAACCTCCTCTCTCACTCCGTGCGTCCTGACCCGCTGTGATGTGAACAGCCTCTGCCATGTACTCACACAGCCATGAACTGCTCTGCTCCACCATGACTTCTCTGCCATCACGGATGGAGCTGCTTTAAAACTCTGGGCTCAGATAAACCTCTTTTCCCTTACAGTTGTCCCTGTGGCTATTAGGGATGGAGGAACAGCTCCCTAAATCACCCTTGGGGCCTGAGAAGTTCCCTTAATCTCAACTCTGATAAAACTGGCCTCTTGGCTTCAACACAGAAAAGCATTTCAGGACAATCTAGCATGAAGTAGAGTTGAGTTTGTTACAAATAGAAAGGTGCTCAGGGAAAAGAATATGACACAACCAAGAGCACAGTGAGGTGGGGTGCGTCTCGAAGAAGAGTCACACTCAAGTGTCCTAATGGTGACAATGGAAAGGACTTTGGGAGCTTTTTCATTGCTCTCTCTCTCTCTCTCTCTCTCTCTCTCTCTCTCTCTCTCTCTCTCTCTCTCTCTCTCTCTGTGTGTGTGTGTGTGTGTGTGTGTGTGTGTGTGTGTGTGTGTGTGATGCACATCCATTCAGAGGGCAGAAGAGGGCATCAAGTATCTTCCTCTGTTAATTTCCATTTTGTCTTTTCAAGACAGGACCTCTCACTGAACCTAAGCTCACCATTAGCTAGGCTGGCTGGCCGTCAGTCTCCTGGGATCCACCTGTCTCCACCCCTCCATGCTGGAGTCACTTGGCTAGTCCTGGCTTTTATGTGGGTGCTGGGAATCTGAATTCAGGGTCCCTTGCTTTGATACTGCCACCAAGCACTGGCTAGTGCTGCTGTCCATTAAGCCACCTCCCTAGTCCCTGCTAAATGGGTTCCTACGGTACCTGACCCACCCCTATGTCTAGTCCCTGTTTTGATCATTGAGACTCTGGGGTGTCTCTGGGGTGTCAGGTTTCCAGCTGGAAGGAGAGAAGGCCTCAGGTAGATGCTGGTGATTATATTGAGATTGATGCGCCTCTGCTGGTGAGTCTGCAGTCAGACTGCAGAGTGAGGGGCTCCTTTCCCTTCTCAGGTCCTTATAGTTTTTTTCCTACCCTGCCTCAACATCAACATGGAAGTAGCCAATCACACAGCCATTCTGGAGTAGGGGGTCAGAGGCTGAACTGCTGGGTGTGAGAAGGCACGTCTTCGAATTTACTGGATGCTTGTCTCCAGGACTTACATTAGCAGAAGGAGACATTTCCTTTCATTCCTGTCTGTCTTTGGTATCATCCAGGTTGGGCAGCTTTTGCTGAGTGAGTGGGAGAACCTGGCTCCATCTGGGTCTGGTCTGGTGGTGTGGCTCTCTCTAGTTCAGGGCCCTCTAGTGGCTGCATACTTCCTCTTGGCTGCCAGCTGCCTGCAACTTTGGAGACCCCAGGTCTATACTCTTCTGTCCCACTTCCGCATGTTTTTGTTTTTTTTTCCTGGAGCAAGCTCACTGAGGGCATTGGCACTCTTGCCCAGTACCCAGGGTACACAGTGTCACAGGGTACACATCTGCTACAGTGTGACTCTGTGAGGGCCACCCACATCAGTCAGCTCCTCGGGTGTAAGAAACAGAAATTGGGTGATGAGGTGGAAGGCTCTCAGGATTCTGGGTTGGGAGATAGGAGAGAGCGACAGGAACCCACCAAGTCTAGCAGAGACCATGGACGTTCCCACGGGTCCCTTACTGCGTACCAGGCATGAGGTATCATCCAGGCTTTGTGAGGACTGCCCTCTGCTGCCAGGAGCAGGGGTGGCCCCTGGTTTCCACTCTAGGGAGGCCCTGGCACCTCAGTGGGAAAGAAACACACTGATGGGAACGGAAGGGCTGGGAGCTGGAGAGCCAAGAATGTCCTCTTCTGAGGACCCGAGGGCTCAGGGTGGTAACCAGCTCATTCAATGTCCCGGCTTGATGATGTGTAAAGCAGAGCAATTTAATGCTCTCCGTGTCCTTCCTTAGTGACTCCTGCTCAAATCCGACTCTTCCCACCACCTGTCCCCAGTGGTCTCCACTGTTACCTCTCTTCTGGGCACCAGCCTCTGCAGCAAGACATAACAGACCCTATGGGCTGGCTCCTGCGTGAGTCCCTCACCGCAAGCGCCTCGTGCTTGCCGTGAAGTCTGGTGGGCTTCCTGCTGCTGCTCTCCGCCCCACTCTTCCGGGCTCCTCTGCTCAGAGAGGTGCAAGGAAGGACTGGCGGCGGCGGGGCGGGGCTTAAGACGAGCATCTCACCCGGTTCACAAAGGCCTCCCTGCGAGCCTTGTCGTGGAGCATCCCACTCTACTCCACAAAATTGTTCACCTCCCCCTCAGCTTGGCAGCCTCGTTCCTGCTTCCTCCCTTGGGCTACCCGAACCCGATGGTGGGCAGCCTTTGTGATGGTGACAGTGGGGGCTGGAGTTCAGAAGCTGAGAAAGAAGGTGATGTCTCATCCATCCCCGTGTGTGTGTGTGTGTGTGTGTGTGTGTGTGTGTGTGTGTGTGTGTGTGTGAGAGAGAGAGAGAGAGAGAGAGAGAGAGAGAAATACTGCTTTAGTAAAGCATAAATGTGCCTGTAATAGAGAAGCCCAGAGCAAAGTAGACATTGATTTCTGTCACATCAGCAGTCTATAAACGCCTAGTTCTATGTCCCATTCGCCGGATTTTGATCGCATGATATCTAGTAGTCGAGGATGCTTGGAAATGTGGTCTTCTATTGTATCCAGCTAATAGCCCAATGAGTCCATCTAAGCAGCTCACGTGTGTGATTTGACTCTCTTTCTCCCCGCTGGTCTGGCTGCAGCAGGCACTGGTCTGGGGGGCAATTGCACGGGCTGTGTCATATGTTCGGAGGAGAACGGCTGTTCCACCTGCCAGCAGAGGCTCTTCCTGTTCATCCGCCGGGAAGGGATCCGTCAGTACGGCAAGTGTGTGCACGACTGTCCCCTCGGCTTCTTCGGAATCCGTGGCCAGGAGGCCAACAGGTGCAAGAGTACGTGTCTCCTCCCGTGTTGTAGGCAAGTTTGGGTAGAGCTACCCCGTATTCTACCCTCTCCCCAAACATACCCTGGGGGGAAGCAGAAGCATGCCAAGCCGGAGCTTGCTGGTTTTAGCCAGCCCTAGGCCAGGTAGACTCCTTCCTGATTCCATCAGCTCTAAGAGGACACCAGCAGCTCTGGGCACAAGCAGGGCAGGGAACCTCCACGTCTACCTCGGTTCTGCATGGCCTTCAGCAGGCTTCTCGGTTCTGCATGGCCTTCAGCAGGCTTCTCGCCTCCTCTGGGTCTAGCTCTAGTAGGGAAAGTGGTCCTGACCTTCCCTCCATTTTCACTGTGACCTAGGACAAATCATTACTAATCTCTGAGTCATGTGGGTAAAGGGTAAGGGAGCTTCACTCGCAGCCCAAATTGGCTATGTGACGTCTAGCACATTGTTTCCTGTGCTCAACTTCAATTTAGATAAGAAAAGGAAGGCCTCCTCATGTGCAGCCCAGCTCAACAATGTACAAGTCTGAGCTGGTGGCAATATACTGTATCCAGGCCCCAGTGACCTGCACAGAGACCTTCCCGCCTCATGCAGACCCATGACTCATGTGTCCCTGGCTCTGTTGCAGAATGTGGGGCCACGTGCGACAGCTGTTTCAGCCAGGACTTCTGCATCCGGTGCAAAAGGCGTTTTCATCTATACAAAGGGAAGTGCCTGCCCACCTGTCCACCAGGCACCTTGACTCACCAGAGTACCCGGGAGTGCCAGGGTGAGTGAGGCCCTAGCCTTGAGGGAGACATCAGGAGACCTGGAAACAGTCAATGAAATGTTCTGGGGGGGGATGGGCAACCCAGCCCCCTGTTGGCACACAGAGAATCTTCGGGGCTCTAATGTCACTGTCACCATCAAGATCATGGATACTGTGCCACCAACTCTGGCATTACTATTGTCACCAAGAGTGTTCTCACCAGCAGGGCAAGAAGAAACAGTGTTACTGTAGTTTCTCAGAAAGTCACTTCATCTGTGTCCTGGGGCTTCTCTCAAAATTATTAGAAAGTAACACATAGAGCCAGGGACATGGCTCTATGAGGAAAGGGTGGGTCCCCAGCACCCACGTAAAAGCCAGGCACAGTGGGTGCTCTCTGTAACCCCAGCACTGTGAGAGACAGGTGGACCCCTGGGAGTGGCTGAGGTCTCTGTCCTCACACTTCAGTGGGAGACAGAAGGGACATGCAATTGGTATATAGCATGTTAGGTGCAGAATCTTTGAGAGGAATTCTGAAGTATAAAGTTCCTGGATGCAGCCCATCAATCACTCCCTACACCTTTCTTCTCTGGTGTGGCCTCCTGGGTATGTCTCTGAGCCTACACTCCCATCCATGACCAGAAAATAGAAGATACCAGTCTGCAAAATGCTGCTGCTGCTCGAGGCCCTCTGTGGCTCTTATTAGCCTCTGGCAGAGCCCTGGGTAGTCCGGTTCCCATCTGTGACCTCTTTACACATCTTCCTCCTCTTCCAGGCTGGACCTGCCTATTGTAGGTCAGCATCCTGGGGACTTTGTGGGGTTTCCATTCACTGGAAGCACCTTCTACCTCTCCTTCCCACCCCACTGGACACTCAGTACCCCAGTGTCCTCCAAGAAGGCTTCCCAGACTGAAGGGTGTGGTCCATTCCTCTTCTGGGCTCCCACAGCTTCTGTGCCCTCCAGAACTGCACAAAGCACCCCTGCCTTCCTGCAGTATCTCAACATAGTGAGTTCTGGGAGGCAGGCAGGTGCATTCTGGGTGGCAGGCAGGTGCATTCTGGGAGGCAGGCAGGTGCATTCTGGGAGGCAGGTGCAGCTACCTTTCTGCAACTCTGGGTCTCACAGTAGGTGCCCACTCTTGGACTTGTCAGGTGAATCCAAAGGGTAGTGGCAGCATAACCACCTCGGGTCTGGAGACCTGTTCCCACCCTGCTCTGTACACCTGTTCCTGCTCCAGTCCTCAGCACCTAAGACTGCAAGATGGGACATTCACTGTCCCCTGAGCTGGGTGCTGCCTCCTGCTCAGAAATGAATGGGATGTATCTGAAATTCCCTCTTCTGAGAAGTTTCTGCCCATCACCTCCTTGTCCCTCACAACAGCACTGGGTGGCTTTGACCTTCTACAACGGACCGAGTTCAAAGTTAGAACCCTGATCCTGAGAACCTTTTAGCAGCCAGCTGCCTCTATGTCTGCCCCCAGTTCCTGCACCTTTCTGAATTCCAGCCACATGGCCTATCAAACCCTGCTGACCAAGGAGGCGTAGTTCAGCTTTGTTACCTCTTCTGTGAAGCCTTCTGCTTCACCGGCAGGAGTCTGCTCTGGCTTCTAGCACAGCCTTCATGGAGCTCTTTGCCGGCTCCTGCAAATACAGTCTCTGTGTGTATTCTCTTCTACCAGCGATAGACTGCGTCCCTAGTAGGTGGAGATCCTCAGACTGCTGGTCCTTAGATCCAAGAGGCACACACTGCCAACTGACTCACCTGTCTGTCTCCTTCTTCACCCACAGAAGAGTGTGAGCCAAGCCCATGGGGCAGCTGGAGTCCCTGCATACACAATGGAAAGACTTGTGGTTCAGGCTGGGGCCTGGAGACCCGGGTGCGGGAAGCTGGCCCAGCTAAGCAGGAGGAGACGGCAAGCTGCCAAGTGTTATCTGAGTCCAGGAAATGTCCTATAAAGAGGCCCTGCCCAGGAGGTGAGTCCTAGGCCTGCAGGGCTGCACTGGGAACAATCCACAAGTGAGCTCTTAAGTCTCCAGGGGCAGAGACCTCCACACACACAGATGGCATCTGAAGGCCACCTGAAAGGTCCCTGATTGCCAGCCCTTCCTGTGAGCTAAGTATCACCTATGGGGTACTTACAGAGAAGAGTCCCAGATATAGTCGGAAGACTGATTGGCGTACCCAGACCCCCATTTCCAAAATTCCAATAAGGATTTTGGAAAAGTCTGCTGTTTCTAGTGGAGTTCCTGAGAAGGCCTGGGAAGTAGGGGCTGTGGGTGCAGAGCAGTGTAACACCCACACTGTGATACAAAAGAGAAGTGATGCCAAGAAGGAGATGCTTGACCCAGCGTACAGGGATCAGTTGGAGACAGGTCCCAGGAATGCAGAGCCAAGGTTGCCATAGAGATTTGAGTGCAATACTCTAAAACCCTAGGCACGCATGTGCAAAGAGACCTCAGCTCTGAGGAATCGATGCTGTCAACTATGCAACAGTAGAATGGGGAGGGGGTATGCCTATACCACCCCACTACATACCACAGGAGCCCCTTCACTGGGGAAGGTAAGACCACAGATTCCAATGGAGACCACTAAGAACCCCCAGAAGAGAGAGTTGTGAAGTATGAAAGTCATCGGCACCAAAAAATCAGTGTTAAGGCCAAGAGCCTGGCGTATTAAATTCTCCACAGTCACTGGCTAATTTGATCTGCGCAACGATTATGATGTCGGTGTAGTTATTATCCCATCTTGGGAGACTGAGGCCCACAGAGCTTGAGTCACTTGCCCCCGGGTCACATAGCCAGAGTAGGTGGACCTAGAGGTCAAATGTTAATCAGCGGCAAAGAAGAATAGTCGTAGTTAACAGTGAAAGACCTGGAGCCAGGACATAGGACACACAGTTGGGACATCGCAGAGGCAGAATTTAAATTCAGGGACTCTGCCACCACCATCACAACCCACACATACACAATGAGCAATTGGGACAGTGAGTGGGACCTAGATGAGACTAGACACCCAAAACTCAAGGAAAGCCCCTTCTCACAGGATGGTACTAGCTCATGCTTCTCACATGAGCTGTGGCTGCAGACGCTGTGGTGATCGCTCTGAGTGGCATATGCTTACTGTCTGAGTTCCCAGAAGGCTGCAGAGCCTCCTCTTATGGGCCTCAGCCCAGGCACCTTGTCCACTCAGAGGTTTTCTGAGCTCCCCTTCCAGAGTCATCACTGGTCACATCATGTCCCAGCAGTGACACCTCTAGGGGAAAGCCCTGCTCCGTCTGCCGTTGTGTGTGGTGTCTGTGGTCTCTGGAGGCCAAGGCTGCCTCTGATGCTGGAACAGGACCCAGATGTTGACTCTGTGGGATGAGTAGGTGCATGGGTGGAGGGAAGATGGGTGGATGGGGGGGGGGTGAGTGACTGAGTTGATAGTTGTATGAGTGGATGGGCAGATGGGTGGGTAAGTAGAGAGTCAGTTGGGTGGGTAGATGGGTGGGTGGGTGGGTGGGTAGGTAGGGTTGAAAGACACAGGAGTGAGAGGGCCAGTGGATGGGTAAGCAGGTAGTTTGTGAGTGCATGGATAGATGAGTGGAAGGGTACACAGGTATACAGGGAGGTTGCTTGGGTAAGTAGGAGGGTGTGCGGGTGGGAGGGTGCATGAGTGAGTGAGAGAGGGGGTGTGCAGTGTAGAGGAAAGATGGGGACAAAAATCACTCGTCTCTCCCAATCCCAGCCTTCAAAGCTGCTAAGGACCTCCCCGGTAGTACTCTCATATGTCCCCAGATTCCACCCTCACCTGTGGCCTGTGCAGTGTCTCCAAGGCTTTAGATTCGGTGGGAAGGCCCAAAAGTGGGCAGCCTAGTCTATGGGGTGACACTGAGTCTGCCCTGCAAAGGGACATGTTGAGGCCCTGACTCTTTACGAGAGCACAGTTAACCCTGGAGAAATAGTTCTTGCCCTGTCTGTGACAGGGTTCGGAGATCTTTCCCTGTCTGCTATGTGCTGTTGGAAAGTAGCGCCCTGAATGATGTCGTCAGTCCTGAGAGCACACTGCTCCCCAGGGACCTGAGGCGAAGAGCATAAGAAAATGGCTTGGGTGAGGAGACACTTCATAAACTGGAAATGTAGGGTTGGCCTGGCTCCCAGACACACCTCAGTCTGTCTTCCTGCCGGCAGAGTGCCCTCCACTGGGAAAGATGACCCAGGGAGCTGGCAGATCCCTGCAAAGGCATGCAAGCCAAGTGGAACACCACAGGAAAGCGCAGCTAGGGATAATGACAAGTGAGCAAAGAGGGGCTGCCGGGGCTGGAGAGAAGGCTCAGAGGTTAAGAGCACTGACTGCCCTTCCAGAGGTCCCGAGTTCAATTCCCAGCAACCACATGGTGCCCTCTTCTGGCCTGCAGGGATACACATAGGCAGAACACTGTATACATAATAAATAAATAAATAAATCTTAACAAAAAAAAAAAAAAGAAGAAGGGTTGCTGAAGGAAGCCAGCAGAGGACCCTGCCAGGGGACATTTAGCTCTCCTAAAGACAGCATGCTGGGACTCTGTCCACACCCTCGGCCACTCTGGCCACTGGTCACCCAAGCAGCCTCAGCCCAGAATGAGCTTCTCTGAAGGGAAATCAGAACTGGCCCCAGGTGCTCCAGGCCACTGAGCAAGTTCATTCTAACCAGCCCTTGGTCACCTTATCCGAGAAAAGGGGCTAATCCGGTGCTCACATTCGACACATGCCGTATTCCTCCGGGGTTGGCAGGATATGCTTGGGTCTAGCTGAGACCTGAGTCTGGGATTTGCAGCAGCTGTATTGTGGGAACAGCTGAGACCAGCCTCTTTCCCTCGCTGTCAAATGGGCTAGAAATGGTAGCTTTGCGTGCATTTACTCTCCATACTCTCTGGGTCATCCGGCCCGCAGCTATATCTTGGGGTCTTGGGCTGCAGGGACGCAGGTGAGGGCAGAGCCTGGCTGGAAGTAGCCAGAGAGTTGACAGGGACTTGTGCAGAGAAACTGAGTCTCCAGCAGGAAGTCTTATTAACATACGTGGAGAGGCATGGGGTCCTTCAGCCCTTACAGGCCGTTGCCCAGCTCTACCTCCACTCCAGGCACAGTGTCCTCCTGACCCCCTAGGAATCACCGAGGAGGATTCTGTCCCGAACAGTTTCACCTGCGGCCCCGCACTTAAGACAGGGTGACCCTGCTGGGAATACTTGGGGTTCCCTGGTCTCTCAGGATCTCCCTGGACCTGTGCTCTTTTACAGAGAGAAAACCCAGGCAGAAGAGCCGGAAGGATCGACGCCAGCGCAAGGACAGGAAGTTGGAGCGCAGGCCGCAGCAGCCAGGCTCACAATGACCGGCTCCAGCTCCATCATCTGGCCTCTGCCCTTGGCTCCCTGCCCTTCCCTTCTCCCCCTGCTCCGCTCTTTCCCACATCCTCCCTCTTTCTGTCTTACCTTCCTGTCTGTCTGCTGCACTTTATCTCCTTTTTCTTCTCTCCCCTCACCCCCCTCTTTACGTTCTGGTTTCTTCTTTGGACCTTTCCCTCTCTCTCCGTGCACCTTTTGTTTTTCATTTCCTCCTGCCTTACTTTCCGTTCTTCACGCTCCACCCCCACCCCACACACGGACACACGTAAGAGACTGTGCCTGTGTTCTCCATGTGGCTCTCGACACCTCAAAGCAAACGTGTTTCTTCCAGATCTTTCTGTGACTCTACCCTGACCCCCACCTTTGCAGAGTTACAATTTAGGAGGAATAGGGATGGGTGCAACTTGACTGGTCCTGGGAGCCCAGCTTCGAGCCAGAGAGACCCTGCAACCCGAGGTGTGAGCCCTTCACCAGGCCCAGTCCCTCACGGCCATTTCTGCAGCACCCAGCCATGGCCTCTGCAATGAGGCTACCGGGGTTGGGTTCCAGGATCTCCCTTGCGCCCCTTGTCCAGGATGGTGGTGTAGGAGTCACTAGGGGCTCTTTGGCTAGACAGTGGCCTCAGGCCCACCGGCGCATCCTTTTGGAAATACCTGCAACACACCCTCAGTGCCCCCTCTGGTCTCCCTCCCATAGTGCCCGTGACCTTTCCCCCAGCTGACCACCCTCCCAAGGCCTTGGGGGACCCATGCACAGAATCAAGTGGGACATTTATTCCTGAGGGAATAAGTCTCTCATCTCAAAGGCTATTGAAGTTAAATGGAACTTAGAGCTGTTCCCACCCACTCTGTTCACCACCCTCCTACCTGCCTGCCCATCATACCCACAGAGAAACCGACAGCTAAGGAAGCGACGGGCTGACATCCCCCAGCCTTCGCTCAGCACATGGTGTCTGTGAAGAAGCCTGAGGGCGTTTGGGGAAGCAGTAGGGAAAATTGCCGGGTCAGCAGTTGGGATGGCTTCCCACTTACCCACCTCCTATGTGGACATCCTGAGGATCGTCTACTGGGATTCCTCCAACTCCAGGCAGGAAGGACAGTGGGAGGAGCCTTCAAGTAGGTCAAACTAATTGGCAAGTCTGTCCTTACCCCTGCCATTGGCCTAGGAGCTGCCACCGCTGCTGGGGAGGAGTTTGGGCAGCAGAGCTCAAGGACAGCTGGAGAAGGATGCGGTACAGGCAAGAGAGACTCTCGTATGATGTCATGTCTCACACACACACACACACACACACACACACGCAGGCAGGAACCCTCACACCCACCCTACACTTGGCAGGTGAGGGTCCTCAGCACACTCCTGATCCCGTAGCTGTGTTCCTCCATGGTGTCCCACTGAGAACAGCCAGATCCCCTGCTGGCCAGGCCAGGCTCCCCACTTCTCTGTAGAAGTTCACACCCCTGAAATGCTTTCTTGTTTTGAGACCCCCCCCCCGCGCTATTTTTTAAAGAAAGAGAAAAAGAAAGAGACTCATGAGAGCTTCTTGGGCATCAGATAGGGTTCGAACTACCATGTCCAGAAGTTCACAGTAGCAAATTCTAAACTCCCTGGGGCAGCTTCCACCAGAGTGTTCAGGTTGAGAGGGGGCCAAGGTTCATGGGGATTGACGGGACAGAGTGCTTCCAGACCCTCTTAAGAAGGGGGCTCAGGGGCTCTGTCATTAAAATGCTTGCCTTGCTACAGTAGTACCCGAGTGTGACCCCCCAGCACACACATGTAAAAAGCCAGGCATAGTGGCATGCCCTTGTGGTCTCATGGCACCAGGGAGGCAGAGACATGCAGATGCCTGGGGCTGTTGGCCAGTCAGCCTGCCCCAAGAGGCAAGCTCCAGGTCAGTAAGGAACCTTGTCTCCAAAACTGTAGCCAGCACCTGACAGACAACACCTGAGGTTATCCTCTGGCCTCTACACACTTGTACACAACAGGCATACATATGTGAGCACGTGTGAGCGCGCGCACACGCACGCGCGCGCGCGCACACACACACACACACACACACACACACACAGAGAGAGAGAGAGAGAGAGAGAGAGAGAGAGAGAGAGAGATCACTTGAGCTTCAGCCGGAGGTAAAAGATGACATATCCTAGCAAAGCCTCAGCATCATGAATTAGTTACAGCCCAGGTCCACACTTGTGCTCTGTTTGACTTCTTAGAAACCCAGAGCCACCAGAAAGAGCACGGTCTCACTGAGTCATGGCTATGACCTGGACTCCTGGTAACCTGGTGTAAGCTCAGCCTGTGAGCGGTTGACTGTGAGTCTGGGCCAAGCCATATGTCCTTTTGGGGATTGCACTGCTCCTTTTGATGAACGAAGAGGAGGCAAGGCTGGACTCGCCCCATCGCCTGTATCTGGAAGGTCCAGCCACGTGCTGGGCTATAAGGGGTTTTTTAAACTTCAGATTTCGGGGTCCCAACCCAGACCTATACATTATGAACAATCTGAGAAGCAATTGAGACAAGTGAACTTACTCGAGGCTGAGTTGAAGGGAAGGGCACGCTGAGTTCAGGGTCTGGATTGAGGGCCATAGCTCCAGCTCTGACCCCACACAGCTCAAAGGTCTGAGTGTGTGGATAGATTGGAGACTGAGATATGTTCTGTCTGGAGTTCTCAAGCCCTGGGCCACTGGAGGCTCTAAATTCCACAGCTGTTCCAGGACCTGTTCTCTGGTCTGCCATTATCTAGCCGTGTTCTTTCCCCTATGAGGTGGGGGACCTGATATTCTGCCCCTAACTGAGAGCTCTGGGTATTTTTTAAATATTGTTTTAATGTTTCAAGGTTTAAATGATTCTCCCAGGGCCCCCACTGTAACCTAGGGCTTCTGCCAACTACTACACTTTTGTGGTCCATTTCTCCCACCTTCCTGGTAAAGGAAGCTCCATGTCATCAAGAACTCATCTGAACGCTTCTTGTAGGCAAAGCTGGGAAAGTTCAGAAATGCCCCATTTCTGGAGTCATGGAGAAGGCCAGTGAGGTTGTTTGGCCCCTCAGTGATGTTCTAGTGGCAGAGATGACACTTTGCCCCTCCTACCCTTTGCCATTCCTGCTGGACTGAACCAGGTCTGATGTACCTACTCTGTCCCCGTCTCCACCAGACGGGTCACCATGGGCTGCCTGTTATTCCCAAATACAGCCACTAGAGGGTGTGACTCAATCAGGAACTGCCAGCCTGTTTGCTGCCCACTCTGAGCTTGGGGGCATATTGCTGTCCTGGAGGACAGGGAGAGACTGCCTCCCACCTCAACTGACCAGTGACTTCAGTGGAATGGCCTTCACAGCAGCACACAATGTCTAGAGTCCAGACCCCGGCCCCAGGCCACTCCAAGAACAGAACAGAAGCCTGACTCCAAAGACACCAGCCAACATTCCAGGAGAGCCGTACTGACTGACATCTGCAGACACCAGCCCCAGGCGACCGTGAACATCCCAAGTAGTTTTAAGAAAATTTCATTCATCCCGTGGAACCCTTCTGACTTGGAAATGTGCATTCTAACAATAAATATGATAGTGATGGTGATGGTGTTCCATATTAGTTTAGCGCCTGGTGCATGGTAGAGGCTAAGAGTCTTATCACTGTCTTTCGGGTCTCTTGATTCTTCTCTTCAGTGGAGACCACAGTAACTCACATTTTTCTGACTCCCTCCTATATACCTGAATTTTCACAACCTTTATCTCCTGTTTGTACCCACAACCCTGTCAGCCAGCTTATAGAAGAGAGGGACTGATCCAGATCTGTCAGCCTCATCCACTGAGTACAAAATGCATAAGGTGCCTACTGTGTGCTTCACACAGCAGGATGCTGGTGATAAAGACCTGGATATTTGTCCCCTGTGTGCTCAGTCAACTCCCATTGTGTGAAAGGCCTTTTGCAAAGGAGGCATTCTGGGAAGAGGGTTAAAACACCCATCCACAGCCCGTTGGTCAGAGATCTCAAGCCCAGAGAGTCCGCTGATAGCAAAAGGCATGAGGGAGGCTGTGTGGAATCACTTTATACAAAGGGCCCAAAGATCTATTCCCATACCAACTTCAGCCTCAGAAGCGTCCAGATCTTGGACCACGGGCCCAAGGTGAGGCTGCTGTTCCTGTCCTGGGCCTCTATCACTCAGCCTACCCCACAGCCCTGGGTTGCCACCTGCCTGTCTCCTTGACACACACCATGTCCTACACTGGGAAAAGGCAGAGGGGCAGTGAGCGGCTCCTTCAGGCCGATGGTTCCAGCCCCAGCTTGGAGTCTCCCCAGTGAAGGCTGCCCTCCTGCCTGGGCTCCTGACCCTTAGAACCCGAGGGTATGATTGATGAAAGAACAGCTGTTTTCTGCTCCTGGCATAGGGGAGGGCCATTTCCCAGCAGCACACAGCTGGATTGGACTGATCTTGAGATCTGTCTTCTAGGGCAGAAGTGAGATGCGTAAGAACTGAGGACAAAGTCACAAATGCCATCTGCACCCCCACCCAGCTATGAGCCCAGACGAGAACCCACAGTCTCTGCCTCAGTCTTTTCATCTGTGAGAGGGCATAGAAGTAGTCTCCATGGTGTCAGTGTGAGGTTTCAGCAAGGCAGTGTGTGAGAAAGGGTTTAGAAACTTAAGTGCCTACGATCGGCCTGCTCACTACATTTGCATTCAACAGACATTAACTAAGCACGCTATTGGAGCAAGAAGTTAGGCCAGCCATTTAACAGGGAACACTAAATCCATCCTCACCAGAACACTCTTTAGTGGGTTCTTCCATTAGTTTTTTGTTTATAAACAGGGAATCCAAGACTTAGAGAGAAAGCAATAGAGTGGGAACATGGAAACAAAACAAAACAAAAACAAAAAACCCCACCACAGCCACATCACACACTGACCAGGACCATCCTCACCCTCAGCTCGTGGGGTATCTACAGGTGGAGTTCCATGACCCTTCCTGCAGCTTGTTTTGTTCCTGAAGGACGAGACCTACTTTGCACCACACAGGGGAGAAGAACAGGTCCTCCCACAGGAAATCCAAATCATGATGGCCCATCACAAAGACGCCATCTTTCAAAGAGACGGAATGGTGATTACACAAGTTTCCATTTTCCCCGCCTTCCTCAAAGGTGTGAGACTCGGCCCAACTGCTCTAGAAGGCTGACGGTGTCCCCACAACAGCCGTGCACACGTCTCCTGGTCCCACCACCCACCGCCTTGGTTCCCCTTTCACTTACACTGGCCCACAACCAAAATGTCAAGGGTTCCTGGGTCCACGGCTACCCCCTCTAGTCCCATATATGACCACACACAAGGAAACTAGAAATACCCGGGAGGGCTGTGAATATACACTCTCCGTGGATACCAACTGGCATAAAGGCATTGTGAAGGGCCTTGTGATGGATGGCACGGCTAAGTGGTGGACTGCTGAGAGAAAAAGCAGATCCCATCACAGAGTGCAGGGTGAGACAGCTGTGGAGGGGAGAGGAACGCCCTTGGTGTGCAGGGCAGGCGTGTGCCAACCCTGTGTGAAAGAAGACCCTGGCAGCTTGGGGGAACTAGGCAACGGCTGGAGCTGGAGGGAGGCAGTGAGGGCCTGACTTCACTTCCATGCCTTTTGAATTTAAGCCATTTGACCATAACAGCAGGTCGAAAAATATCATGAAAACTGGTCTTAAGACGCCCTTAAAAGGACTCCAAAGGCTTCAGCATAAATTCCGAAAGGACGCCTCTTTCAGACGATGTTTAGAACTTATAGAGAGACACTCCTCCCACCCACAGTGTCCAGCTCCAGCTGCTTGTCAAAGACTGAGGGTCCAACCTTGAAAGCTGAACCACCCACTGCTTCCCAGCAAGCCTGCTCCTGTCTACACAGGCCATGTCCACTCCTCCACCTCTGTGTCCATGTCCATACAGACCATGTCCACTCTTCCACCTCCGTGTCCATGTCCACACAGACATGTCCACTCCTCCACCTCCATGTCCATGTCCACACAGGCCGTGTCCACCCCTCCACCTCCATGTCCATGTCTACACAGGCCGTGTCCACCCCTCCACCTCCGTGTCCATATCCACACAGACCATGTCCACTCCTTCACCTCCATGTCCATGTCCATACAGACCATGTCCACTCCTCCACCTTCATGTCCATGTCTACACAGGCCATGTCCACTCCTCCACCTCCATGTCCCTGTCCACACAGGCCGTGTCCACTCCTTCACCTCCATGTCCATGTCCATACAGACCACGTCCACTCCTCCACCTCCGTGTCCATGTCTACACAGGCCATGTCCACTCCTCCACCTCCATGTCCATGTCCACACAGGCCGTGTCCACTCCTTCACCTCCATGTCCATGTCCACACAGGCCATGTCCACTCCTCCACCTCCATGTCCATGTCTACACAGGCCATGTCCACTCCTCCACCTCCATGTCCACACAGGCCGTGTCCACTCCTCCACCTCCGAGCAGACTCTGGGTGTAATGCTTCTAAGACATGGTCCAGATGCCCAGACTCTGCAGGACTGGGCCTCCACTCTCTGGGTCCCTCTGTCCTCCCTGAAATGAAGCCATAGAGTGTGCCAGCAAGTCACAGGGCATGTCTCCAGCACTGTGCCTGGCTGGCTGCTTGACCCTGAGTGAGTGAGCACCTCATCCTGGTGGCCTTCCCAGGATGGTGGTGGAATCAATTCAATGAGGTGTCGACACCAGGCATTCAGCAAGGCTCCGTGAGGCAGGTAGCCCTTTCTGTCATCATTCCTTTCGTTCTGTCACCAACCCCTGAATAAAGTCATGTACCCTCTTCACATAGACACTCCTCCTTCAGGGAGACTTGATCTATTTACCTTTCTTTCCTCCACCGGCTCCCCCGTCTATGCTTTGCTTGTCCTATACCTGTCTAGGTCACCAGGGGGCAGCAGTGTCTGGAAAGCTGGGAAAGGGAACCTTGAGGCTGAATTGGGTTGGAGGAGAGGCCACCAACAGTACCCATTTCTCCACCAGCATCCTACCTATGTCACAGTCTGCCCTTAAGGGAGGGAAGTCAGGGCAGGAACTCAAGCAGTAACTTGGAGGCAGGAACTGAAGTGGAGACCACAAGGAGCCCTGTCCCTGGCTGACGTCCTCTGGTTTGCTCGGGCACTTTTTTAAATACACCCCAGGCCCACCTGTCTAGAGATGGCGCCTCCCACAGTGGGCTGGGCCCTCCCACGTCAATTATGGATCAAAATCATGCTCCACAGGCTAATCTGATGGTGGCAGTTCCTCAGTTGAGGTTCCTCTTCCCAGATGACTCTACTGTGTGTCACGTTGACAGAAACTGTACAGCACAGGCAAACACCGTGTTTTTCCCTCGTGTGAGGAATCTGGTTAAACACAGGCGCTCACACCCGTGAATGGAGGACGTGAAAACAGAAATGGAACTGTGAGAGAGGAAGAAGTCTAAATGGACGAGGAGGACAAGAGAAGGTAATGGAATATAGGCAACATGGAAGCCGAAGGCGGGAAGGAGACAAGAAGGAGGGGGATGGAGATTGGGGGAGGGCGGATAAAGACAAGGTGCAATGATGGGCGTGTTTGAGAACGCCACGGTGGAACTCCTTCTTGTGCTGTTGTGTTTTGTTCTGTTCAGTCAGGTTTTTCTCTGTATGTAGCCCTGGCTGACCTGGAACTCTCTGTGTAGACCAGGCTGGCTTTGAACTCACAGAGATCTGCCTGCCTCTGCCTCCCGAGTGCTGGGATTAAAGATGAGTGCTACTACACCCAACTTAAACCTCTTTCTCTGAATTCTAGCTTTAAGTAGTAGTAGTAGTAGTAGTAGTAGTAGTAGTAGTAGTAGTAGTAGTAATAAATCACAGTGAAGGTGAAGGAAAAACTGGGGGAGAAAGGAAGCTGGGAGGGATGGAGAGACAGGGAAGGAGCCTGTGGAGCCACCGGATCCCTGGTCCTCGGAGCACAACCTCTGTGCTTGGCGGTTTCCTCCTCGGACAGCCAAGTACAGGAAGAGCCATTTCACGGATGAGCAAACGGAGCCGCTCTGGGCCACACAGCTCTTTGAGATCACAAATGTCACCGCTCCTTATGGGTTCTGAGCAGCACTGAGCGCGCATCGGGACCCATGGCGGGGAAGAGGAGAATTCACTCCCACAAGCTGTCCTCATGTGTGCACGTGTGTACACACGTACACACACCCACAATAAGAGTAAAAACCACCAACAGAGGCTGGATGACACATTACCTTTAATCCAAACTTCAAGGCTGGAAGGCACACATATTCTGGAGGAAGTGTGTCACTGTGGGGGCAGACTTTGAGATTTCATATACTCAGGATATGGTCCAGTGAGTCAATCGACTTCCTGTTGCCTGCAAGATGTAGGACACTCAGCTCTTTTTCTAGCACCATGCCTGCCTGCATGTCGCCATGCTCCCCACCACAGTGGACTGAACCTCTGAACCGTAAGTGAGCCACCACAGTGAAATGTTTCCTTTATAAGAGTTGTTGTAGTCATGGTGTTTCTTCACAGCAATAAAAACGTAAGACAGTGTGAAAGAGTAAAGTCACCTG